TGGGCTTCGCGGGGGGTGGGGGGGGGGGGCGGTGTACAGCTGGGAGGGGCCAAGCCAGGTGAGTAGAAAAGCTGCCGTTCGTCCTCAGGAAACACCGTCCTTTCCCGTTCTCCCCTCCCCTCCCCTCCCCTCCCCAGCTGGGTGTTTCACCGTCTCAGCGCAGAAGAGCGTGTTCTCTTTACAGCTGCTCGCTTTCTGGGTTGCCGAAGGGGCCCATAGGTTTCCCACGAAGTGACACGCGGGTAGGTTTTTAGACTCTGCTAATTCTAACGTGACCTGTCGGGCCTTTGTATCTGTATCTCCTTCCTCGCCTCTTCACCCCACCCCCCAAAAAGCTGTGATGCTCGGGGGGGTGTTCAGGATGGTGTGGGAAGGGGGGACTTTAGTCTGGTTTGTCTGAGAGCGGCTACATGTGTGTGTATATAAAATCTGCTTAGTGTTCCAAAATACAAAGGGAATTTGCAAAGGCTGATAGGGCAGGAGCTGTTCCCGATGTAAGTTCGAGTGACAACTGGAATTGTTCTGCTGTTTCTGAGGTTTGGGTTGTAGCTAGCCTGGCTCCTCGCTCTCAGTCCGAATTTGTTTAATACGGTTGGCATAATGTTTCTGGGCCAACCCGTTTCCTCCAGGGCATGAGGACAGCACTGCAGATCTAGATGCCAAATGTCCTCTTTCTGCTCCCCCATCCCAATTTTAGACTTACTGGTGAAACTACTGGAATAAACAGTTTCTCCCCTTAAATGTTTGACTTAAAAGCTATTTTTTCAAGTCAATTAATATCTCCTGAGAGGAAGCAACCATTCTGACTTTCCTGGAAACCCTTGAGAGGAATTTGGGAAGGGGAGGAATCTGGCAGGCCACCCTCTGAAGGTGAATAGAAGAGGAAACCTCAGAGGTGCTGTTTTTATTCGTGTGCAGAGCTGGCTGGCTGTTATCAGCCTGATGACGTTCACCAGCACACTCGTGCCGGAGCTGGAGGCCTGGGATTTCTCCGGCCTCTGAGAGGGTGTGTGTTTAGCAACGCACGACGCCTGCGGTTTGACCTCTGCTGGCAAGTGCAACTTCCACCTATTTAGGAATCTGGCAGTGCTAAAAATTAGAACTGCTAATTGGTTAATTTACACAAGCATACACTCATTTTTCTAAGCCGAGTAAACCCGCGGGTGTTGTGACAGTTGTGTTGTGTGGGTATCAGCTTCAGAGGTTGCTTTCCAGCATTTATAGTAGAGACCTGTGCCTGGCTCAGTGTATTTTCCCTTGATTTTTAATTCCAGGAGGGAGCTGGTCCTGAAACTTGCAGAGTCTGAGCTTGGAATGGTTAAAGTAAAAAAAAAAAAAAAAAAAAAGAGAGAGAGAGAAAAAAGCTCAGCTTATAACTCTTGAAATACCAAAAATAGTGAATACATGCTTAATAGGTTAGGAGTTAACTCATGATAATAGACCTGTCAGTTTGTCATCAATTACAAGCATAATAAAGTAAGTCAATAAAGGTTTAGATTAATAAAGGTTTACAGCAGAATAATATAATGCCAATTAACAGAAGGATTGTTAGGGGGATAAATAGCACTTGTCAGATGTCACATGTTTAGACTAGAGTTTTATTTGATAATGGCTGCAGTTCTGCAGTGTGAGTGTGCTTAAATGGCTGTTTGCCTTACTACAGCATCTCGTTGTGCTTGGGTCGGTACCACGTTTTTACTAAGGAACTAGAATGATTCTTCCCCAGTAGATTAAAAAGGGATAAATGATGACTCTTGTAACTACGGAAGAGAGGATTATTCATTGCGACAAGAGTTCTGGCTAGACTTTGTAGCATCAAGATTTTTTTAGCCTTATATTTATTTATTTATTCCAAGATGTAAGAAAAACTGTTAACACTATCAACAAACTATATTGAACTATAAAAATATTGAATGATAAATAAACTATATAAACGAATAATTAATAAAAAAGCAAAAATACTATTAATTACTGCCAGTTCACAGGTGACAGAGTAACTGCTGAGGCTTGGTGACTGCAGCTGTGTTGCCGTGGGTGGTCTAAGCTGGTGCTGCTGCCAGCAGAAGCCGCGTTGCTTGTTGTGCCTCCTCCCTCGTGGCAGCGGAAGTGCGGGACAACTTTTTCTCCCGCAGCCTGCTGGCTGATCCTTTGTAATTACTCTTGCATCGTCAATTGAGGTAGAGTGATGAAAACAGAGAGCCAGTGAAGACAGGGAAGGGATTTGCACCGGGCTGAGCAATCCGTCCCACCAAAGAGGAGGGTAAGGGGTGGCCTGAGCTCCGTTAATAGAACTACGGGATAGCTGGAAGTTCGATGGAGGGCAGTTTCCTGTACCAGTCAGTGGTATTTAAAACTTACCTTGCACAGTGCCTTTCCTCTGTTCTCCGGGGACTTACAATACCTCTTGGCTAAACCTGTTTTCATTGAGGTTTTCATCCAACCTGTTTTACTGTGGGGCAGCCGCCTACCCACAGACAACAGCTGTTTCACGGTGCCGGCTGCTCTGCGGTCTCTCCCTGCACCGAGCACGAGGCTGCGTTTAGCTGTGGGATCAGCACTTTCAGTCGTAGCCTTTATTCAGCTGTGGGGAAGGGAAGGAAAACCAGCAGAGGCTCCGGCCGGCAGCCTCCGGAACAGGGTTAGAGGATCTCTCTCTTTCGGCTTCCTCTGCTCGCTGTCCAAAATGGCGTTTGAAAACTGCTCAGAAAGCTGTTCAGGGCAGCGTGTGCTGCAGCCTGCTGTTAGCTGACACGAGTCTGAGAGACAGGGAGGGTCTCCGGAGGCTGAAAGTCAACTTGGTGTGTCTTTGCTCGTGAAACACATTGTGTCAAGTTTGGCAAAGCGTCAGCGGTGATATCCAAGGATGCACGAGGACAGTTTGAAGTTGGGAGATTATGTGTGTATCGTTGGGCACTGTTGTCTGAAACTTTACAGTAAAGATTGGGTTTTTTTGTCACAGGTTCCTTTGGCAGAAGCCAAAATGCAAATTTATTCCTTACTCTGTCCCCAGCCACCGGGTGACGGCTTACACGACCGAGGCAGAGACCATAGTTTGAGGATGGTGTTCAAAGGGCAGCTGTCAGTGAGCTTCATACATTTCTTTCATTCTGGCTGCCACACGGAGCACTTTCACCTTCTGCTTCCTGAAGCTTTTATTTTTAAGTGCTCCCTTTTTTTTTTTAACAGAAATGATGTTTTATTAATTTAAAGAAGTTTTTTAAACACACGTAAGCGACTCCTGGTAGGGCTTGTTTGATAAAAATCATTCATCACAGCTTTCAGATTTAGCTTCTGTGGACCTTGTTTAAATAAGCTTCTATACATCAAGATGCAGGAGAGCCTGTCAGGCTGATCTTCTGCCTCCCTTGGGTCACGACCAGAATTTCTGAGAAGGCTGCAGTTAAGAAGTACTGGTTTGATCAGTTCTGTCAGGCCCTGGTACTGCAGGTGCAGCGTGGCTGTAACTCGTATCAATAAACGGGAGGTGGCAGTGGGTGGTACGTAGACAAGAGGCCATTTCTCTGCAGAGGTATAACATACATTGGACAGGCTGAAACCCGGTTTCTTCAGATACATCGCTTGAAAGCACGAAATGCAGTTTCCGGAAGGGATGTTGCACTTCATCTAACCTAACTCTGATCGACAAGAAAAAAATACTATAAGATTTTAAAATGGAGAAAGGAAAGCTGCTTTTCCTTTGACTGTACGAGTCGTTTGGCAGCACTGCTTGGTGTGTGTGTGCTTTCTTTGGGGCCAGCTGCTGTGTGCCGTGCTGTTCTGTTCCTTGTGATCCGGCTGTTGCTTTTTCTTCTAATCCACCGCATTAGGGCACGCTCCAGAACATCTTGTTTCTCTCTTTATAACACCTGTACGGCCCAACTGGCTGCCCCTTTCTCTTACTCCGTCCACACAGCTGAAACTAAAAATGTCCCGTTATCAGCTCATGCCTGCTCTCTGGTGCGTCCTTCCTCCTGCAGTGCCACCCCTAGCCCTGCCACTCCATGCTGCTGCTGCATGGGTGGGCTTGTCGCATGGGGCTTTAACCGTGTTGCTGCTCCTGCTGGCTCTCTCCCCCAGGATCGGTTGCCGTAGCCTCAGCCCTTCTACATTTACAGACCCTCGAACGAAATTGCCCCTCGGCTACCTCAGAGGGGGCGTGTTTGCTCTACGCTACGCCGTTTTCAGCCTTTCCCCATCTCCACTTGTCATCTCTCCTTCAGCACTGCTTGTTTGTCGCCCTGCTCGGCGCGTTGCCGGGCTCCTTTGCTCATAGGTTCATTCCACAGACAAACACCACATCGCCCCTTATGTTCCTCCGTTCTTGCCTCCGTCCGCTTGTATCCCCCGTTGCCTCTTGGTCTGTAGGTTGTGTGCCCTTTCCAGTGTTCTCTTCTGTCAGTGCCCATTGCAGAATGGGTTCTTCATCCATGACATAAGTTTTATAGCAGCAGTTATTAGTCATGATTAGCAGTGATTCTTAAATAACGCCGGGGTGTCTTGTCCCAGGTTCAAACCTAAGGACTAGAGCAGATTAGACAGCCCAGAACTCAGGAGTATTTCTCATCTAGCGGTGTGACTCATGGTGCGACAATGAGTATTTCTTAGATTGATTCCGAATGTCAGTAGAGTATCTTGGACAACAAAGGAGCATAAATAGCGCTGTCTACACTAGAAAACTCTCTGTTTACGAAACCCTGTTCTCTGTCAAGTACTGAATGTTGCGCTGTTTCTTTTTCAGTACCAAAGAAATGTCAGAAGGCTCGTGAACACTTTGGTACAGTGAGAACACAGCTGGAAGCTCTGAAGACCAAGTTTCCCGCTGATCAGTATTACAGGTGTGCAGGATCACACACAGCCAGACACGGATATGGGAATTCTCTGGGTGTATTTGGCATCAGTACTTTGGAAGAATGATTTAAAGGTTTAGGGGCCCAATGCTTCTTTCTGTTTGAAAAGTAAATCATGGCAGAGAAGCGTGAGGTTTTTATCAGCGTAGATAAAAAATGCTGTTGCTCAAACACTATTTATAACTTTTCACTAAAAATATGCAGTATTTAATTCTTTTTCTAGAAACTTTTTTAAAAAAGAAGAAGGAAAGGTTAAGAAGTTGATGTTCTATTGGAGCTGCGCCAGTTTCTGGGAGCAGAGCATTTGTTGCTCCATTAATTTCAGTTAAGTTAGGTTTGGGGCATTTCTGAAAACAGAGCTCTAAATCTGTCGTGAAATGGCTGTTTGATACTGCAGGTACTAAATGAAGCCATCACCTTTGTGTTTTGTTTGCTGCCAGAAGGGGACAGTGTCTAGCAAGAACATTTCAAAGAACAGGAATCTTGTCAGCTCAGGTCTGCTGAGGGAAGATGGGAGGGAAAGCCCTGGTTGTCTCGCGGGCACGGCAACCTGAAAAACTCCGCAAACTGAGTAGGTGTGTGAGAGGTGCGAGCAAATGCCGGTGTCCAGCGTAGTATCCTGGGGGTGAAGTTCTGGAGTACCAAGGAGATGACTTAAGCTGGTGTCGTGTCGATAAGCCAAAAAATATTGCCAAGTGCTGTGTGTAAAGGTGGAAGACATAATGTATAGGTAATGTATGCTTGTTGCCTAACTCTCCAGTAATAGATGTTATTTATACCTTGACTTGGTGTTTTCTTCAACAGATTTCATGAGCACTGGAGGTTTGTGCTTCAGCGGTTGGTGTTTCTGGCAGCATTTGTAGTCTACTTGGAGTCAGAAACGTTAGTGACCCGAGAAGCGGTTGCAGAAATACTTGGGAGTAAGTTAATGTTGTAACTGAAGAGAAAAAGTTTGTGACGTTTTTATATGTTGCAACTTTCAGAGGTACAGGGAAACAGCAGAACTTCATTTCTTGCCAAGAAATAGGTTCCAAAATTTATCTGGTATTTGATTTCATTATAGGAACAACAAATTCTTTTAGAAGGTGAAAATCGGCAAACCTGATGTGAACAAAAGTATTTATTCATTAATAAGTTCTTCATCAATGAAGATTATTCATTCAAATTGTGTAAATCTACCAAAAGAATAATACAAAGATGAGAGCTTATTTTTCTCACTTTTTGCTTTTGGTGTTTAAAAAGTGTGGGAAACAGATTAAATTCTTATGCTGTAAGAGAATTGTGTCCTCCCAGAGCAAAGGATCTGGAAAAAAAAAAAAATCAGGGAATATTTTTCTAAAAAAGAACTACAGACCCCTCTCCTGTATATTGGTGTGAATTCAGTTATTCTGTTGGATCAGTTATAACCTGTTGCACGTCCAGTTGAGGATGTAGGAGATGCTAAATCAAAACGCTGAGAAGAGGCAGTAATTACATCACGTACAGGAAAAGGCTGACTTCTATTTTGTAATAATATTTCATAAATGTGATATTTCAAATTAGCTCCAGGGAACAAATGCTGGTTTTGCTCGTGTTCCGTACCGCCTGGTTACCACTCTGTTTTTCATCTTAGTTGAAGCTGATCGGGAGCGGGGCTTCCACCTCGACATTGAAGACTATCTTTCTGGTGTACTAATTCTCGCCAGTGAGCTGGTAAGGAAGATATTCATGCATATCTTTGGATTGAAACTGACCTTAAAAAAAAAAAAAAAAAAAGGTAATGTGTTTTCTAACTTTCCTAAGTTGTTCCTGGAAGTTATGATGCACAACACCTTGATCTGAAATTCTAGCAAACTGCCCCTCTGTATGCCAGAGTTGTTCCTCACGGATATTTTAAGATTTAAACTGGTGACTTGATTGAAAGTCCAGGATCGTGGTCAACAAAAAGGAAGAACTAAGTACAAATAATCTAACTGCCTGGAACAAAACTGCTTCGTTTGGTGAAGTAACCGATGGAAACAGTGACATGATTTGGGTGGGTTCCTCTGCTGATGTTCTCCTGCGTGTCTTCCTCTCGTAGGCCAGACTGGCAGTGAACAGTGTCACGGCTGGTGACTATTCTCGCCCTCTCCGCATCTCAACTTTTATCAACGAGCTGGATTCTGGCTTCCGTCTCCTCAACCTGAAGAACGACTCCCTGAGGAAACGTTACGATGGCCTGAAATACGATGTCAAGAAAATTGAGGAAGTGGTTTATGACTTGTCGATCAGAGGACTCAACAAGGAGGCAGCAGTTGGTGCGGGTGGAGAGAAATGAAGGATGCTCATTTTAACAGCATCATTGATTACCTCAGATGGTTGCCAATTTAGGAAGCATGCTAGCGAAGCCTTCCTACAGTAGTTTAGAAGAACTGCAGCTGAAAGCTGCTCTCTATTTTCTTACAAAAGGTGTAGTACGGGTGTTAGATCTCAAAATGTTTTGTAGAATCATGTCTAGATTAGGGCAGGAGGCTCTCTGTTTCCAGTGGAATTCCTCTGTCAAAACACACGGTGCCGTTCTGCGCACGGCAGCGGTTGTAGTCAGTAACTCCCATGAGCTGAAATTCCCATTAGTTCTGTAGTGTTGCTTCGCTGCTCCGGCAGTGATGTGCTTCAGCCGTCTCTGCTCACACACCTCGCGAGACGTCTGCACAGCGCGCAGCTCAGTGCAGGTACACGTGACGTTTTAAAAAACAGTGTGTAAATATCTATACATTTTTTTTTAAGACACTGATTTTTTTTTTTGCCTTTTTATTTCTTAAATTTTCACCTGTGTCAGTAAGTTGAACAGATTTGCATAACTGTTTATTAACCAGACCTTTTAAAATGGCTTCTGTTAATGTATCCCCTTAATTGAGAAATTAGTGAAAATATTCCTGAGAATTTCTCCATTGGAACTGGTGTGTTGCACCCGGGCACATCTCCCTCTTTCTCTCTACTTTGTTTTTTCCTTTCCTCCAAGATTTCTGTTGCCAGGGAGAGCAAGGTTTTCTCAACATCTGCTTTCACTGGCTGGTATTTGTTTTACTGACGTGAGTAAATGTTGAGTTTTAATACAATCATTTGCCTTGAGAACTCGGTGTAACCAATTCTTATTTTTTTTAACTACCAGGGTTTCCGAATAGCGAAGTGTTAACTGATAAACTGCAGGTAGCGTCTGAGTTCTAACAACCTCTGTAGGCCACAACTGTACCTGCGTCCTGGGATTAAAAAAAACCCCACACCGAAACTATAGTTCACGCAGTAAAATGTCTGCATCTTCAGCAAAGGGGCAATTGCTAGCTTCAGATGCTTTGCATGCAAGATGTTTGCAAACACCAACAGCCCCTCTCATTTGTGTAAATGGACAGACTCGTACCTCCCAGGGCGTGCGTTCTCCTGTCCTAAATGACTTTGAGTCTTGCCATTCTTCTACTTCTGGTGGTGCAGTCGGGTTAAGGAGAAAAACAGACTTAGGAGGAGGAGTATTTCCAGAGGATGAACACGAGCAGCCAAGTTTATGTGGGGTTTGTCAGTGTTTCATTTTGTTAGCAAAGATTTGCCACTGTTTCAGTTAGGTTTTTGTTTATTGGAAGAAAATGGTTTCTTGGTTATTCTGGCCAATAAAAGCTGTTCTTTGATTTTGGCCATTTGGTAACTCTGCCTGTTGTCTGATTATCTGTTGTTAATTGCTTCCCTTCCTGGGAGCCTACTCTGAAATATCCTCACTGA